CCAAGATGAAGATCTTTATGATTGCTGTTGTTTCTCTCTTGGTTGTACAAGGTATGTGTTTTTTTTTTTCAATTTTCCATTTTGGTATCGAACAAGTTGTCCAACAATTCAAACACAATATAAACCATTGTGCGCATGCCATGTGGAAGGCATGCAAGCCTGTACATCAAAGTTAACAATCTAGTTCTAGATGGTAGAAAAGATGAAAGTGGTGTATGCTTTTCTCTAACTTTTTTTATTACGATGTTGCAAAATGCAGACGATGTAGATGGATACAAATTTAATTTCAGACCATTGCTGTTCACCTTCCTCGAGCTCAGTTGTATTTTCTGTCTTTCTTAATCATCCGGGGAGATAATCTATGCTAGTTTTGTGTTAGAGGATGAACAAGACACAAGAGTATCCTATTCTCCGATGGAAGATCTCTGTGGTATTTCCGCAGACCGTCCCTTTCAAGGATTCATCTTGATGGAAACATTGACTTCCTTGCTTTATGATAAACTATCCACATCTCGAACAAAATACTATGTTTTTTGTACAGATGTATTGTGTCAGAGACGAGAATTGGAGGCAGATATAAAAGGTATAGCAAGTGCTCAAATAGAAGTTATACCTGATAATCCAGAAGAGCAAACCGTGATGTCAATATCTCTAATGTTAACCAATATTATTGATTACGTAAGTTGTATCTTCCTTTGAACCATTTTATGAATTTCCCAATAACCTACTGCCACTTACTGACTCACGAAATTGCAGGTCAGGTATGCAGTACATGGAGGCTGAACTGCACTTGCAAATTGAAACCAGTTGCCATTGACCTTGCTGCAAAATGATACACTGCAATGTGTTGCACGGGAGGGCGTTAAACTCCGTAACTTTTCATTGGCATTGGGAAGTACACAGCATCGTAGATGTTGACTTGTCAGCTTTCCAACAAAGAGAGATTTATTTTCAGGATACAAAGAAGCAGGTTTTGGATATGAATGGCTGGTTAGCTATACAATGGACTGATACAAGATATGCTTGGGATCCAGCAAGTTATGGAAATATTTCAACAGTTAGTTTACCTTGCCATGACTTTGTTAAACCCGATGTGAAATTGTATAACAGGTAAGCTGTAGTAATACAAGAAAATTCCAAAATAATGGAATTATATTTGTCAATCTAGAGAAATTCGTAGCGCACTCACCTCCTTTGATTATAACAACAATGGAGCTTTGACTGATGCCTCACAGCCTCTTTTGAACTTTTGGGAGACCGTAGAATAATTTTTAAGGCAACGTCGCCAGATTAGCGTTCATGGAGGATAACTGTACTAATATTTTTAGATGTTTGGCCAAGAATACTTTGGTAGGCAAGATTCTCTTTGTGAAATATCGATATTTTTTTGTTTATTATCAGTGCTCAAAATGATTAAAAGGCCTCAAAACACACACCATAAAACAGCTTGTCTTATCTAAATTTCAGCGCTGAGGAAGGTATGAGAGTTGATCAAGATGTGAACTGTGTAATAACAAGTGGTGGAGAAGTATCATATGTACCACTTGTCTCAATCCATAGCTTCTGTCCCAACGCAGATCCTACCGACGATACAATGACTTGTAATCTCGACTTTGGTTCCTGGACACACCCATGTCATGATCTGAACATCACCAGAAATACCAAGAAGGTCCTCCTCCTTGACCATTTTTCTGCAGGTTGGAGATGGCAAGTGATGCAACATTCGGCATCTTACCACGAGAAAATCTACAGTTGTTGCCCCCATGCTTACTGCTCAGTGCAGATTAAGCTGAAAATACGAGATAGATCCAGGACTCCACGAGGCAGATGGTACTATCCACATTGTTTGTAAACAGTTTATGTTTGGTAATTTGAATAAAACAATAATATACATGTTATATGTATGTTTGTTTGAATTTGTATCAATGGAACTTATCTGTATCTTATCTAGACCGAAACATCTGACTCTATTCCAGCCTCTGAAATCATTTTGACAGTTATCACATAGTTTAGAGCCAATAACTGACAAAATATCTATCAGAGGCTGGAATATAGAGGGAGATGTTTCGGACTACACCTTATCGAGATAAAGCTTTTTATGTCGAGTTGACAAAAAATGGAAAAGAGTTGTATCAGGTACATCGGAAGAGACTCAAACAAGTGCGATCAAGATAAAAAAAATTCTGAATCTTACCCGACACCATAGGCAAATGTAAAACTTCGTAAAGGCGTTACTATGCACCAACAAAATGTTAGGGCATAATTATCGTGTCTTCGGTTCTTCCAGAGATAAATATCTCAGCATGTATCATATTTGAATCTTATTTGATATTATTCAAGGTCGATGAATAACGCCTATTTTATATATTCGGTGTCCCAAAGTTCGTGGGGTAGTATCTCAGCTGTTAGTAAATTGATCTCTTTCAAAATTCCCAAAAAATATACTTTAAGATGCCCTTATCCAACCCTGAAAATATGAAAGTCATCGAATAAAAGTTGTACAAGTACTGCACGGAACAAAATAACATGTCGAAAAAATGCCATATCAGGGCAACTGACCTATTTTAACCTGTGTACAATGTTCCCTCCATCTTCTACGACAAGCAATCGCAACCGTTTTCCCCATGCCAGAGAATTAACAATAAACTTAACTTTGGGACGTTTTTTTGCGACAATCGATATTTTCAATTCCGATTCCAAATTTAGAAATGGGTATCAGTATGGTAGTAAACCAAAATCGAAAAGTTTGATCTCAAAAGAGCGAAAAGAAATTCAATTCAAAACGTTCAAACTTTTGATTGACCGATTTTTCAACCAACTTTTCCAGCACGACCTTTGTAGGTCAAGGAATACGACCTCTGTATTATCGGCATCTATTTTCTTTGTTTTTAATTAAAACGAGATTAAATTGCTTATTTGAAACGGTTATCAAACACCCACCATATAGGATTACTAACAAAAAAACAATAAAAGTATTCGTCAGTGAAAAAAATACAATTTAGTATAAAGTGACACCAGCAAGATGAGATCGTTCGGATTCGCACTCACCATTCTGTTCGCAACCCAAGGTAAGTGGTTAGAAATACTGTTTGAGTTATGATCAAGAGTCATGGTACAGAAGAAATTTCAGATCTCATTTCTGCGTCAGAATTGTCATATATCAATCATAGTTGGCTACAAATGTATATTTCGTTCTCCCTGAACGTCCACTTTGCATCTGTTGACTATTCTCTTGTCGTTGCCAGTGACATTAATATTTGATTAATATTGATAAGACAGTGTATTTAGTTTAATCAATTGATTGTCTTCTCTGTTTTCCGTTTCTCTCTGCAGTTCCTTCTCTGCTACAGATTGTGCTATTAAAGTCGCCATACATCGTACAGCAAAGGATATAATTGTCTGGTCTTTTTCGCTTTCGAAAACAGTGAGGTACCTGCTCTTTCTGAACTAGTAGCCTACCTCTGTTACACACCATTTGGTATGACACTATGTAATCTAATATATGATCTGGGTGTTTGTATTTTCAGTGTTATGTCAGCGACGAGAGCTGGAAACCAATATCTTGGCTATAGCTAAAGCTCACAATGAAGTTACCACCGATCATCCTTCTCAACATATCGACGTTTCTGTCAGTTTGATGCTTACTAATATCAATAATTTCGTACGTATTGTTTATTCTGTAGCAATGGGTAGAGAAATAATCGAACGAGCGATTGCCCTAAAGGCTCTACGTCCAAACAGCATGAACTGTTATTACATCTTGAACTATAAAATTCTAGTCCGTCTCTAATCCAGCCTCTGATAAATATTTGAACAGATGTCAGCTGGTGTAGAGACAGAAATTGAATAAATCGGATCTGCCAAACTCCGATATATTCGGAAAGATGGATATTTTTGTAGTTCATTCATATCATCATTATACCCCCTACATCATGTATGCCACGCCTGAGGATCCATCAAAGTGTTTATTTTTTTCATATAAACTGTTTTAAAGTGGTCATGGGTTCCAACGCAGCTCAAAACTCAGACAGTTGCATGAGAGTTGCATTCGAAACTTGTGACTTCTATTCTTATTCGAAACCATGCGCAACTGGTCAGGTGATTAAACAATGATAATTTGACATTTTCTTTAGGATCCCCACGCCCAATTTTTAGATGCCAATGGTTGGTTGAATTTACAATGGGCTGATGAACATTTTGGCTGGAACCCTGCTGATTTTGGAAATTTGTCTAAAATAAGTGTTCCTTGTAAAGACTTCCCTAAACCAGATATTAAACTCTTCTTTGTGTAAGTTTAAAAAACTCTAATATCCTATATCCTAGTTATCTTAAAATGCTGGTGTAGAAAAGATATAAAAGAACATGGCAAAGAGATCGAAAAAAAAATGTTTTTCTAGATTTCGTGTAGGTTCTATACAGATCCTGATAGCACCATTCAAATTCCCTGGTATCACTTTTGCAATGCGAGGTCAACAATTCAAGATACATTGAACCGGAAACAGGTTTTTTTGCTAGGAATCATGGGAAGTGATTAAACACCTTAATCAATCCCTCTTTTGACCCTGACCAAATATTCAACAGACGTCATTTCCGGACAGAAACAGCACAGTGTTTGTTGTATTAAATTTTATAATGGAATCATGTATTCTTTTTTATTATTTTACAGTGCTCATGATGGTGTTGTTGTCCAGGGAGAATTTAACTGTGTCGTTTCTTCAAATGGTCTTGTTACTTATATACCACAAGTTTCCATACATAGCCATTGTCCTATACAGAATCCTACATCAGATGAGTTCACTTGTCATTTGAAATTCGGCTCTTGGGCGCATCCTTGTAAGGACCTGAGCATAAACAAGGATGAGTCCAAGTTGGATGTAAGCGTATTTAAATCTAACTGGAGGTTTGAGATTATTGACCATTCATCTGAAGTCATCTCTAAGAAATACGACTGCTGTCCTGACATCTATTGTTCCGTTGACATGGAACTGAAATTTAAAGACCATTCCAGAACACCAAAGACCAAATATTATTATTTTAGTAAATACAATAATTAAATTTGCACAATGATGTCAACCATATTACTAGGAAAATATGTTCATACTTTACTCTTAGTTAATTTTCTTGCTATTCTACATGTATACTGCTTATGAAAAATGCTCTTCAAATGATTTTGAAATCTAAATAAAATGTTGCTTCCAATAAAAATGTTTCTTGTAAATTCTCTGATGACGTCCTTTATATAAGAGGTTTCTGATAGAGCAATCTACAAGAACATAATTTCATAGATCAGCGGGTGAAATGAGCGTTCTGAAAGAAGCCTACTCCTTAATGTCTTTTTCTGCAATTCTCAACCCCAAAAACCTACCAACGTTCAGCCTTCGAGACTCGGCAATTCTTATCAGTATTCATACATGCAACCACCAGCCCGTCAAACGGTCAACTTTCTGACAGTTTAAAGTTCTAATTATATCTGTGCATATTGTCAGTCATTCTGATTAATTGTTTGCAGAGGTGCTGGGGTTCAGTCAAACAACAGAATTTTTTTTATTTAAATATTTAATTAAATATCTTCTATACACAGACACCTAAAATAACAAATAAAATAGCTTTTTAACAATATAACATGTACCTTATTATGTTAATTTCATATTAACAATCACTGGCCGCTCAGTTTTCTCAATTTTCTGCACCTGTATAGGCCAATGAGAACTGGCAGTATGCAATGAGAAATTTGTGCCAGAACAGTGGCATTGTCTTACTCTTTTACGATTTCAAACTGTCGAGGGATCTTTAATATGCACGGTTTGTAGGACACGGGGTCTCGATTTATTGTGCATGCCTATCTCACATATGTAACATGTAATAGCGAACAGAAAAATATTCGGTGCCGGAACAGAATCATTTCCAACCTTGTCACAAGTCTAATGATTTAGAGCATCCCATAGGACATGGCCCATTGATACCGCCCATACCAGTTTGACGTATAGAAAGTAGCAGTAATTGGGATAAAGAGCTTACCCAAAGAACCATGGTGATCAACAAGGTCTATGTTAAGGCAAGTAAAAGGTTTATCGCAAGGACAGCTTGGTACCAAACTATCAGGTTTACCATTGGTACCATTTTTGTGGTCATCTGGATAACAATCTAAACAGATCGACATAAGTATGTGATATTCATGTATGCGACTTCACTCAATGGCTACTGATCTGATACGTAAATAATTTCCTATATCGAAGAAGTAACATGTATTAAGATGCAAACTGCAAGAGAAAATAGTTTCAACCATTGATAACATTAAAATCTTCATCAACTATCACTTTTCAGGACCATTTTAACCTCAATTATATATGCGTGCAGATTTTCAAAATACAAATTGGAAACTACCTGAGCCAATATGTCCTATTATTTCACAAGTACCCTCAAATGTTTCCCGTTTTCCAATAACAGGTCCTTGGATCCACGTTGTACAACATTCGTTGTCAGCACAATCAGATCCAGTATGACATTTTCTAGGAACTTTTCTTTTCGACTTCATACAATTATCTGAAATTTAAACAAAACTACTATAAGCTGTCACTTTGTTAATCGAGAAAACTGTGACTTTTCTGTCACATAGGTACAAATGACGCCTTTCACGAATCTCAGAGGCTTAGTAGGCCAAGGACTACAGCAATAAAAACTAAATGATTCTTATTTTGAGATTTTTGGCAGAAGACAAACAATCTTATTTCAAAACGACTCAGAAAAATTTCAATTTCAAAATCATAAAAATAGATAATTTTGGACAAATCGGGACTCTAAGGTTCAGATTAGACCGATTATCACCAATTAGATTGAATTTTAACTCAGTGATTAGTAAATACTAAGGATCTATTGGACAGTGAGATTTTAAACCGATCAGAGTTAAGTGTGTGTATTCCGTTTCTGTTTTAGAGAACTATTCAACCAAATATTCGAAAGTTTTATGAAAGGAATTTGGAAAAAAGGCCTCTGTCAATAATTCATATAATAGTGATAAACTGCTTTATATATAATATGAGATATCACAATAATGAGATACAGGTATATTGAATATTTATTTGCCTCTTATAATGGACAAAAAATTAAAGTCTCAAACTAAATATTGAAACACGTTTCCAGGCATTTCCCAAGATAACTTAGTTAATTGAATTATTACTTAATTTTAAGGATTTTTATTTATTTTCAGAGTGATTCTGTGGTATAGTTATGACACGATGTAGTCTACTGATGAACAAAGATTCATTTTGGCGAAGTTTAAAAATTTCAATTTTTTTGTTAATCCTAAGAGGTAGAATACCTTTAATGCATTTAACCGTGAAATGTCGATTCTTAAATTTGCTTAAGGGCATGTGGGTTCGAAAGGGTGTCGTGACACTAAGTAGGCCTACACCAAATAAATACACATATTGTGCATAGTGTTATACCTTCCAATTCGCTTGATTTAACAAAACATCTTCCCGGGGGTGCCTTCCCGGGCCAGAAAGGGATGTCACTCTCTCGTACTGCCATACAACATTCCCCAGCAGGACATCTGGAGTTATCAAGACACCAGTTTCCAGATCCAGGTTTTATAAAAAATTTGCCTTCCTGAATAAACAAGAATTCAACTTGATTTATATGATGTTCTGATTATTTCTCACATGACCTGAAGAAATTTCCTCGAGATCACTGAAATATTCAACCATTAATATTACGTAAGTTTATAGGCTATTTGTAAAAAAAACAATCGAAGATTAACTTACCAAAAAAGCAAAACTAAGAATTAGGCATAAAATATAGACGATTGAACCTGCCATTTCAATACTAATGCTATCTTCTGTCTAAGCGTATGTTGCGGTCCCACACGTTCGGTGTACCTGGAGGTCATTGTTTAACCTATTCACCTCAGTCCAAAAACATTTTTGAATTTGATCATTGCATTGATAAGAACTGATAAGGACTGGCGAATTTCGGTAGTGGGACAGAGAATAATCAATATTTGATCGGTTTTTATTGTGGTCTTATGAAACATAATCAGTCATTAGAGTTATCTCCCCTACCCATTTTCAACATGGCGACGTTGAAATTATTTTGTGCTAAAAAATCAGGTAAAACCGAATAGATACTAGTAATTGTACTGATACCAATTACACCATTGCCAATTCATTAGATATGGTGGTAATTAATATGCAAATTTTATATTTATGGTGTTAAAGTTGTATGCAACATTCGTTTTCACTGAAGAAAGAAGTCTGTTTTATAAGAGTGTTGATGATGACCTTCATTTTCATTGGACTGATTTCGGTATTATTGTTTTGGCGAATATTGAATTATTTTAAAGTATGAATCCTTCTATTACTTTTCTAAAAAAAATCATTGCCAAGATCCTTTTTTACCATTAATTTGTTTCTGTGGAGACTACTGCATTTTCATAATTATGTAAATCAAATGTAACATTGTAACAGTAAGTTACTAGGCCTACTACCAGGGCCTATCTATAGAGTTATTTGGTATCCAAATTTGAATCATAATAGATCTACTGTTAGACCAGATTGTATACAGAAATACCGATATTTATTTAGGCTACCTGTACCCAGTATTTTAAAGTAAAGAATCATTTGAATTTTTCAGATACTAAACTACGTGATTTAGAATCAACCTACTAGAGGTACTAGATATATAAGTTTTGTAAACTTAAATATTTATTAAGTTTAAACTCATATTCATTCATCCATATATTATTTATTTTTTTAGGGGAGAATTTATTAAAGAACTTAGTAAGACCAACAAGTATTGTACAGTCAAGGTCACATTGGAGTAAGTTCAATTTTTAATGAAACACATGCACACGCTTAATTGAATGGCATTTAGCAATTGTGAGAACGATATATAGACACAGCTTTATGGAAACACAATCACTGGTTAAAGTTATATGCAACGTTTCGACGTGTTGCATAAAACTTTAACCAGTGATTGTTGTTCATAAAGCCGTGTCTATATATGACAATATTAGAGTCTAGAGAAAATGGGCGTTCAATTAACAATTTTATATTTGTTAATATATGTTAATATTTGTTAATACATTATATATTTTCAGAGGATGTCGGTCAGCAGAAAGAAAACATGGCATGGAATGACATTGCTCTTAGAGCAGCTAAAGCCTCTTTTTTTACTGAAATAATGAAAGGTATATCATCATGCTTGTTCACTTTCACTTTAATCGAATATGATTTGATCTGATTGCTTTTGCATTTTCTAAGTTAACTTTTATCTATGGGTCCAGAGCATTAGAGTGTGTTTTTGTGGGATTTTTGGGAGTCATTATTAAATGTTTAGAAGGTTTAGATTCTGTGCACGAATTACATTAGTGTTTTATTCAAGTCATACAACTCCTATAAAGCTGTTTTAGATTGTTTTATGTTTTTTCCTTTCAAGGTTTTGGCATGACATTTGCCCAACAGTTAAAAGAACCAGCCACAATAAATTACCCCTTTGAGAAAGGTCCTCTTAGTCCAAGATTTCGAGGAGAGCATGCTCTGAGGAGGTATCCATCTGGGGAAGAAAGATGTATAGCTTGTAAATTATGTGAGGCTATATGTCCTGCTCAGGTATGAGTACTGTAGAGTGTAGAGAGGTTGTAAAGAGGTTTTCTAGACTGTTTATATGTATTTATATCAGGGATACTGATAACAAGATTCACAGACGTCTGACTTAAAATTGGAAAGGTACAAATTTGTTTTTTTTAGTGTCCCAGATACACATATAAAGTTTAGAAATCTCTTTACAGTCCCTTTAAAGACAATAGTCTTCATTGGACAGTTCATCCTCTTTGTTCACCGAAAAAAAACAATAACAAATTTGAAGATTCAATTTACGAAGCTGCTTCCTTATGCAATTTTAGTCTAAAAGCAGAATTCAAATTGAGAAATTTTTGATCTTTGACCAATCATTCTTACAAGATTGAATTAAAAGCAAAATCTCTTAATAAATATTTATTTAGCTACTTTTATTGTCTTTATCAGAAAAAAATGAAGAGTAACATTAAGAACTTGATTTTAAAGGACAACCACAAAGCAAACTTCAAGATTAGAGAGTCGTTGATCATCTATTGTACTTTGACCATGATTGAATTTAAAGAGAAATCTTTTATAATAAATATAAAGAGTAACATCTAGAGCTTGACTTCAGTCAAATTGTATCTGTTTTGAATACTAAATATCTGTTAACAGGCTATAACAATAGAGGCTGAACCTAGAGCAGATGGTAGTAGAAGAACAACCCGATATGATATTGATATGACTAAATGTATTTACTGTGGATTCTGTCAGGAAGCTTGTCCCGTTGATGCTATTGTTGAGGTAAGGAGAGATATGACTAATGTTCTAGAGCAGTGATTTTCATGTCCAGAAATGGTATCAGCATGAAAACGATGTTCTCTTATTGTCATTAGATCTAAATGAAAAATGCCAATGTCAGGGTTGAAATATATACAGTTGAGCCAGTACCAGTAGTAGTGGTTAATGAAACTCCATTTCTTACCATATTTATATTTGTAGGGTCCTAATTTTGAATATTCAACAGAAACTCGTGAAGAATTATTATATAATAAAGAGAAATTATTAAGTAACGGTGATAAATGGGAAGTAGAAATAGCAGCCAATCTTCAAGCAGATTATTTGTACAGATAAATACCTTAGTGAATCTTTTGTTTTATTATTGGAATAAATTATTTGTAATGAATTCTGTCATACGTTAAATATAGTGAGTACTGGGTAAGATCAAAACATAAACAACCCATTTTATTTTTGGGTGGAATAAATGGTTATTGAAATATATAATCCACCTATTTTGTCTTCATTATCCGAATGTGCTCAAAACTTGAGGTACTGGTACCACATAAGAAAGATGATTTTTATGAACCGTACGAAAGTTTTCATGGATACGGCGGCGGTCCACAAGAATTCATATAAAAGCCATAAGAGATATTTGTATACGCCCACTCGGATTACCTGTTCACCAGTCATTTCACAGTTTGCTTGTAGACGCAATAGAGTTTTTATCTGAGTTTTCTAAAAATTTGGTGTGTCACATTTAAAGCTTGGTTGAAATATTAAGCCTTTTCTTCAGAGGAACAGATTCAAAATGTCTGTTAGCTGTGTTTGTGTGTGTTATTTCCATGTAAGAAACCCATTCGCAGTTTCGTATCCAAGCAATTTTGGACAATTTCGAATTCGACAAATATTAACGGGAGTTTCCCTTGATATACTGAAAATGTATTAGCTAAGTGGACGTATCTTGCTTGGCAATCGCTTGTTTGTTCCTTAGGGCAACAGTAGCTCATAGTGTATTATACACAACGTTTCAATAACTTCTAAATGTCCCTTATTAAGTTAGAGATCTTGGCACTCGCTTCCAGCAAAATATATCAGATGATGAATAATCCAGTTGTCCGATTCGTCCGCTCTGTTGTCGCTCACGAATATTCTGATCACCAAACCTTGATTAACCATGGATTTGTACTAGATAAAGATCTAGATTACGTTAAGAGAAAAGGTGGTTACCGCTTGAAAGCCCCCTTACCCAAATTCGCTGTGCTTTCCACTTAAAGCATTGTTGCCTCATACAAAATGGACCCAAGTTACAACAATAGATTCATAACAACAAATATAATTACATTTAAGCAACGAGATCGGCAATGGTCAAAAGGATCCAGGAAGCCTTGACATAATTTTGGTGTAAAATTGCACATTCATACCAGACAATTTTATTGTGGTCTAATTCGAAACTAACTGAAAAAATAGTATCTAAAACCAGTTTAACTGATATTCCTATCTACTCAGTTTGATCGTATAATTTTATTTACATACATTTTTTTTTTAAATAGAGACATAATTTTTAAATGATTATTAAAGTTAAGTATCTACATAAACAACAGGTGTTCTAGCATAATTGTATTTTTTAAAAATTATTTATGTTGTTAAATAAGTGGTTCGATCGATCTAAGTAAAATCTTCTTGAATTCAATATGTTGGAGACTAAAACATTCTTTAAAAAGTGAAAACTCCAAAACTTCTGATTAATTTATGAAATCGGACTGGCTTTGTCTGAAAATTGAAACATGAATGTAAATAAAATATGTTCACATGAGAAATTACTATCAAATGTTTCAGATTCCAACAGAATGCTACCATAGCTCATTGATTGGTTCAAACGATTGCAATGACTAACAAATGATCTTATCTGATACCGCTAAATATCTGTATTTTTGGGTAGCTTAGGCCTAATGACCAATTAGATTTTGTCAAAAATTGCTGCAAATAGGCCACCTGCAATCCGGGGTGAGTTTTTATTAATCAACTTAGTGCTTGACCATACCTAACGAAGGTTACCTCTTTATTAATTGATTTCCTGCTTTTGAATCACAATATTCAATAAGGCAATGTCATATAATATAATATGCCTAGTTCTACGCTGCGGGACTGGTATAAAATAAATCGACCAACCGGAAGTAAAATCTGGCGCGAAATTGGGCATTATTAATAGGCCATTATTACTCATACAATTTTTATTTTTTTCCTACAAACGGCACCGAGTATTCCTCCCAAATTCAATTATTGTTTGGAATTTGGTCATCAGCAGGCAGGTCTTTACCTTTTACATGAGTAATGTTCATTTTCGCGCCATATTTTACTTTCGGTTGATAGGGTGGGAACTACCAGGGCTATATTGAGCTTTTCAGCATTTTATTAACACAAGAGAAAAGAATAACTAAATGTAACGTACCTGATTGCAGATTGAAGGAACGCCAAAAATGGCTGGATCTTTGATACCCGGGGTTAAGTTTACAAAACCTTCAACTCCTAATGATTTTGCTGCCAAAACAAAAACATAATATGAAATGTGAATTACCTACTCTTGTAGATTCATATATTACAGACAAACCTAACATCATATTTTGATACTGAAAAGTGATATGCATAGCTGAATTTCATTTTGGAAATCAAAAACTTAAAACACTAGCCCATATTCCTTGTAAGAGAAATTATATTTAGGCCTACTTACGTTTTAGTATAACTCCACCAATTGGTATACATTCTTCTCGAGTGTATGTTAACGAAACAGTTACACCGTTTTCAGTGTATAAAAAAGCCGACGTATCGAGAGTTGACATTCCCATCAATCCATAATGAAATCGTTGACCAGTTGTAGCATTCTCTGAAGATTAAAAGAAATGAATGGAGTTTTACGTCATACACTTCTTGAAGATTAAAGATCGGTTTCCTTATTTATGTCAAATTAAGCAAACTATTTCTAATGAATTATCATATATTCTTAATCATATCATCATATTCTTAATGCAAATAATTAAGAATTTTTTTTTAACGATTTTTGTGTTAGATATAGAATCTTATTTATTTTAATGTTTGCCGATGAGCGATGATCATGGATTCCATCGTGACGGAATTTCACATAGCTCTAAAAGTGCACTCAATTAGCCTTTTACCGGAGTTACTAACAGAAATACAATATTAAGATTTAGTACTTCTAATTAAGGAATAATCAAATAATTTGAAAGCCATAACATTTCATTGGTAATTTCGATAATTTTCAGACAATTGTAGTTGAAAGTTGGCGTGAAGGAATTACAGCCTATGACATAGCCCTTTTACAAAATGCACATTCTCATATATTTCTGCTAAATAAGTACCCACTTCATATCATAAGAGTTGTTTATGTCATGTAACACCTCAAATGATCAAAATACTAATGAAACAGGGCAGAAATTCGCTAAAGGTTTTTGACACTAGACTAAACTTTGCGTGACGGACTTACAATCTGGCTTTGTGACGGAATTACGAGTCAAGAATTTCCGTCACGTTTGTGAAATAAGTTTAGTTCTAACAACTGAGAAACTAGCACAACCAAAATAAATCAGTTGATGATGTTTAATAGATCAAAGCAAATTAACAATACTATTAAAAATTACCAAAATAAATAATAAAGGGGTCAAAACAAATTTGGATTTTGGCGTCAACATATCTAACAGTCCTCACACCTAAAGGGTATTTAAAATTTTATTATGTCATAGCAATTTTAACAAGTTCACTCTTGTTCTTGCAAACACTTTTTACATTCTGCTGCCCACATGATTCATGAAACCAGGATTGACGGGAGGCGCACATAATCCATTCTTCAGAAATTTTAGGATCCGCTTTATCACCATATTTCCACTTACAAAGTGTGCAATTCCAGTTTTCATCCGATTTCCTACTGACTTCAACTGCTTCCTTTGTGTACTTGGCAGGAACATGCCTTGGGGATGGATCTGTGGTGAAAAACTTGAGCTGAACCATTCCATTCCCAACTGACTGAGCACAATGTGTAGAGATAATTCCAGGAAATGTTTGTAAACCAGAACATAACGTCTCAACATCAAACATTTTGCATTTTTCTTTGATATCATCTTCGGTCAGTTCTACTACATTGATTGAGGTACCACTGGAACGAAGAGCATTAGCAAATGACTGAGAATCTGATACGACAGCAGAACGTGACATAATCAGTCGATGAACAATACGCTTAGCATTACCACCTATTCCATCATTTTTTAGTCCCTTGCCGTGACTCGTAGCAAAATAGTTCCATCTTATTCTAACAGCATGTTGATCCTGAAGACGTGGCAACAGTGCAAATATATACTTATTCTTGTACTGGCTTGACGGTCCCTCCGTCCGTCCAAACATCTACAGTTCTAACAGTAGGGAAATTGTCGGTGATAATATCCAAAATTGTGGATGTGAATGCTGCTACAGCCGTTTTCTCGTGGCTTAGAAAATCACTAATAATCACAAACGATAACTTCTTGTTTCTGTATGTGATCATGATGGTATAGATCGTCACCTGACGCTGCTTCCAATGGGCTGACTGAATTTCATCCTGCCAGATACAAGTGAAGTTTTCAGCGAAGTCCATTTGAAGGAGACATTCTTCAGATGTGTCTTCAGAAGATATTTTCATGTGCTGGTACGATGATGACTGTTTTTCTTTAATGAAAAGATGCCAGTTGAACTTAGGAAGCTGCATAGCTAATTCTTCAAATGCATCAGTTGAATTGCCAGATTGTTTCACCTTTTGTAAGAATCCAATTGTATCTTCCAATTGGTACCAAGAAAATTCGTTATCTGCTGGAGCTTTATTTCCATATATTTCTTTGAAGAGCTTACCGTCACTACACCTCTCGCAACCATTTCGCATACAATCTTCGTCGTTAATATCGCAGACGCAATGAGCAATAAAATTTTCTTTAGAATATAATGGAATCAAATCAGGATATCTCCGATGCAGTGCTTCTAATAGTAGTATCACATATCTGTGATATTTGCAACCACAGACATTATGCGGCATTTCCGATGACAGAAGAACCCATCGAGGACGAAGAGATGCAAACTTGGATTTACCAATATCAGCAGATGGATTATCTTCAGTAAAACATTTATATGTCTCTGTAATTGTTGCGACCAGATGTCGTTTTTGCTTTGTATATTTGTTCCCCAACTGATCTTTCAGTGTTATGAAATCGGCTTTTCCAGGCATCATTCTAGATATATTTTCATTTTCGTAAGATGAAATAACGGCTTCTACTATTTCCTGATTGGTCCTGATCTTCGGTGCTGCTATATATGTTCCTAAAATGTCACAGGCCATTAACTTCACCAGAGATGCTCGTTTGTGTGGACTCTTTGGTAGTGCTTTCATCACGCGGGACTTAGCTTTACCCAAAGAGGACAGTGACTTATAGGGCGTTCCACCAACAACTGTCCAATCAACGACTTTAATTTGAGAGTTATTCATCCTATGTTGTCTAACAGCTTCTCTCGTTCGTGTTTGTAAATTTTCCTTCTCCTTTGGCAACATTAATAATTTAGCAAGTTTCTTTCTCTCTCTATCTCGACGTTTATGCTCTTCATAGTCAACTCGATTATTTTCCATTTTCAGTTTTTCTCTTCGCTTCCGCTGCCTTTCTGCTGCAGTCTTGGCCATTCTGGAACAAAAAACCGCACCTTTACTTTACTTTGATTAGATAACAACTTAGTAGGATAACAGATACGTCAAAGCATTTGTGTTACGGAATTACACTGTAACTGTAATTCCGTCACGAAAAGAGAAAATGTAATTCCGTCACGCAAAAATAAATAGTTTCGTTCATAGCATTGGACAATTAAGAATATTTTCGTAAAACTGGACAGATTATTACATTGAACATGAAATTTGATGAAAAATTATTGAAAATAAAGGAATGACCTGAACTTCCAGTTAAATATCGTGACGGAATTACTGGCGTTAATGAAATTAAGAAACCTGATTTATTGTTGCTTTATCCAATGTTATCAAACATTTGACGAAACACCTATATCCATTCTAAAAAAGCCCATAAAATTTAAAAAACTATGATATACAACTTACCTTTGTTGAGTGAAATAGGCTAAAATGGCGTAAGCATTTCGCGGGCTTAATAGATTTCCGGTCACGTAACGTCTGCGCGCGCGCTGATAGCGCCGATGACACGTGGAGGTCAATAAAAAACATGCATAAAAGCCCGCCTAATGTTAATCTAAGAAATTAAACAAAAATTGATAAAGAAATATGAATTTGATAATTTACACTTCGTGTCACGATTACTGTGGAATTCATGTGATAGGCTACATTTTTGTTCTGCAAATGTCCTAAAGAATTACAACATTTGTTAGATTTATTTCATTTGTTCTGTAACAAATTGTGTATTAATGGAGAAAATCAAAGATTGTAGTGTTGAGAAAAAGTAGGCCTAAACAGGTCATTACAGATGATTGTTTCGTAATGGAAATGAAGTGAGAGACTTACTATATGACCTGAACATAAATTACATATGGGACTTTCAATTTAATCTAAATAATTGCTCCTTTAATATTATCCACTCACGAATTATTGATCATTATAGGCAACAATGGTATTCAGAAATTAATGTTTCCAACAAGTTAACTTTTCATAACATTTTAAATTGAAACATGAACAAGAAAGTTATTTATCTTTCATTAAATTTGATCTCTATCGTCGTATTCTTTGTACTTTTAGATTAGGCAACCTACAGTTACGTATTGAAATTGGTCAATATACAAAAACACAGCGTATCTGTCAGTTGTGTAATGTAAATATATTAGAAGACGAATTTCACGTTCTTTTAATTTGCACATTTTTTGATAATATTAGTAAATCCTTTCATATTACATTACCTACCCAGATAGCATAGAATGTTATAAATGTTAGAATACAAATTTAACTTTAAATAAATATTTGTAAATATCTTACATCAGCGTGAAAACATAGTGTTTCCTATTCTATGTTAATTTACAATTATATTATTAAAAATGGTTTTGTATATAGTATGTATATATGTTATTTATATCGGTGTACATGTCTGTCTATATGTTGCTAAAGCATTAATAAAGTTAGTTTAATATATTAAGATGGCTATTTGAACGGGCTCTTTGCTTCGAATGTTAAATTAATTAAATAGACAATCACAGGTTCCGACCACTAACTGAATGTCTCGACTAAAGCAAGCTTTTCTCATCTTAAAGAAGTTTGACGAGTTGCTTTTACATTTGGACCATATTAAAGGGACTATAAATTGTTCTGTGGATGCTCGGAGGGTAAAGGCAACATTAAATGAACCTTTATAATAGAAGTAGTCTGATATATTGATATATTGATATATTAAAACGAACTTACCAGGTATGCAAAATCGTTGGAAAGTTTGGGGTACTTTTGATGTAGTACAACTTCGGCTCTTTGAATTTATCAGATATTGAACTCCCTGCGAACATAACAAAATCATGATTAATATTAATGATAGGCCTATTTATTCAAATTCCAACATCTAGCAAAGACAAAAGGAAGGGGATGAAGTACGTTAATTTTGAAGTTCGATTTGTTAAGAATTTCTTTAGAGAGAGTGTTGTATCTAACTTGAAAGATTTACAGTATTCATGGTATTGTAAAGAGATTTTCTTAACTTTTATGTGGCACTGACTGAAAGCGTCAATTTGTACCATTCCAATTTCCAGTCAGAATATGTCTGTAGTTTTTACAATTGCATTAGTAGTTCTATGGCGTCACTATCGCAAAACCTGCTATTGATACCTTTGCGACAAGTGGTATTGAAAAAACTACAGATGCATGATTGAAAAACTGGAATGGTGAAAATCGATTCTATAGTGTCCTATATACACATACTTTTGTTTAGAAAACCTCTTTACAATCCCCTTAAGGTTAAGGTTTTAAACACTTCCTTGGCATTATTTAATTATTGACTTTTATCAACACAACTTTTTTTCTTTTATAGATAACAATATACTGCTTTAGTAATTGTTCTCTGTATAAAGTCTATGTAGGTGTTAAATATCCAGCAGATAAAACTCTATCCCTATAGACCTACCCCGGAAAAATAAATCAGTTACTGAGATTTAACGATATTTATCAATCATTATATAACTTTATCTTTAAAATGTCACCTTTACAATTAGATTATCTTATATTGTAGGTTATTATGTAACATTCTATATTGTATAAATAAAAGGTGATATGGGATAAAAAGGCTTTAAGTGTAATGTAATAAATTTAATCATCAAAATTACGTTTTTAAACGGTTTTCAAGCCTCCAGTCTATATCTATCGGGAATCAGTGGCGTCGCAAGAGGGGGTACAGAGGAGGCATTCGCCCCCCCTCCCCTTTTTGTACCCCCATCTAAGATTATACGGTTATTATACGTTTTTGCCCCCCCCCCCTCCAAAATGTGTCGCAATGCACCCAATCAATTCACGTTTTCGGCAATGTTCTTGGAGAACCCTCTCAGACGTATCACGATAAGGCTTGCGACTATGACGCCTCAAGAAAGTTGCCTCAATGTAAACTCAGCCTCGACAGTTGTTTCTTATTGCGGTGTATATATACAAACTACAAATAATAAACGACATTTTTTAGATCAATCTGGAGCTGATCTTATAGATTATATTTGACTTACCTTTTTATAATCCGTCAGTATTCTAACATCAGATGTCAAACCATGAATACTTTGGGTTATATTGATATTTATCATTTGTCTCTTCTCATCGTAAGATATTAACGCACTTTGCTGTAAATACATGTGAAATTGCTTGAAAATCAATAAATTTTTTCAATCGTAGAGTAGAAGTCAGACATGAAATGGAGTTTGAAGTCGCCACTTTTCTGTTCTTTATAGAACTAATGAAGACTACACATGCCAATTTTCTATCAGACGTCTGTAGTTCCTGCAATTCTACAAAAACTAATGACTAATGAGTTTGATGACGTTACTAATCGCGAAGGGCCCTGTCCGATACTGCATATTTTGCGATTAGTGACGTCAACCTTAATTTTGCAAGAACCACAGACGTGAACATTTAGAATGCCAAAAAGCAAATATTTAAAAAGAAACGAGTTTCGTTATGGAACTGTTTAGTATTTCAATGATTATTATAACGCATTTCAGACGAAAACTTTCTTACTTGAATAAGCTCAGGTGCAGGTCCTGATCCATCTCCAGAAAACATCCCTTGTATGCCTTCCCAAACTGGTGGTACACAACAGCCAGGCTTAGTGGGCACCGAGACACACAATGGTATTAAAACTGTGAGTAATAACAGGAGCTTCATTTTGGTACGTTTTATGATTCTAAAGACAAAACACAATTTACCAGCAAGAATTATAGTCAGGATTAATGTACTTAATGTACTTCCTAATACTGAACCTTTCTACCTCAGAGAACCTGCCCTGTATCCACAGGAAATGTCAGGGTCCGTTGATCTGTTTTTTTTTCTAATTTCAATAAATCGATCAATTTTGCAAAACCAAACCACTTTCGTTACGGCTTGCGACTTGAACACTGAAAGTGATCGGTACTCTCTTGTATATTTTACGTTCACGCGAGTTTCTTAACACAAACAGAAGACCGAATCATCTGCCTTTATTCCAGCCTCTAGTTATTTTTAACGTTGAACCCTCGTCGACAACTGTCAAAATATCTATCAGAGGCTAGAATAGAATCAGATATTAGGACTACCCAAACCGCAGCATGGGTAAAATCAGCATCAATCTGTCAAACTGCCACGCGGTCTCTCAATTTCACAGTACGGGGTGAAACTGCATCCCGGGCATAATTCTAGTTAGTGCTATGCGAGGATATTTCATTGATAAGATATCTGAAAGTAGGTTACATGTACTTACATTCTTGACTTGTAACTTTAAGCCGAATGGAATGCAGTGTCCAATGAATTATGATTAGGACTGAAGTGTAATTTCTGTAACTCTTCATTACATTAGCGTGACAGACGATCATGTGACGTATCAAGTATATCGCTTGAGTATTAGTCATTGACTTTATAAATATAACAATTTGAGCGAAACGCTGATAACAATCTAGGTTGTGTTAAACAAAAAGACAACATAACAACCGTTCACTTACAACTAACGCATGCCCCGAGTCATGTAGCTTCTATGAAATGTTTTATTCGTAAGCCTGCGACGATGCGCTATTTCGTTGTCAGTGGTAGTGTATAATCCGAAGATCGAAGATTGCAGACCTGTATAATCGGAAGATCGCAGACCCCAACTAGAATCCGCAGATCCCCTATACTAGAATCCGCAGACGCAACTAGAATCTGCAGACCCCCTACACTATATTCCGCAGACCCAACTAGAATCCGCAGACTCCCTATACTATATTCCGCAGACCCCCTTCAAAAGCTGCATTTTTTTTTTAATTTTCAATCTTTCAGAATTATTTTGTAATACGTGCCTTAAAATGAGGACGACATTTGTATTTTGTAATTTGTAATTATTTTGTGACATAGAATAAGTGCTTTAGAGTTGATATCAAGATCATGACAATAGATAGGCTACTATGTAAACTAAATGTACTGTGTATTTCAAAGCTGTATAAATTAATGTGATTGTGAAAGATGAATCGTTTTTCCAACCATCCGATTTATACAAACATACATATGCACAATATTACAATAAAATGTCTATTGAATAAAACAGTTGTCTCTTCGTTTTTCAATATCATAATCAAACGGTCTCTTTGAAAGTTACACTAAAGCTCTGCAACAGATTATGGTTTATGGAATTTGTTGAGGATTGCGCAATGTATCATAATGTAACTTTCATCTATTTTGAACCCTTCTCATTCCCAATAGCCAAGGATGTCAACCCACAAAGCTTCTAAAGCATACTATGATATACTTTGCAAGTAAAAACTTCCATATCGCATAATATACAATACATACTTCTGGGTGTCTGGATGACCTCATCTCCAAGTCTAATTATCGACACATGTAATGCATGCATTCTGCATCCAGGTCAGAGTGGAAATTCTGTGCAAAAATTCTGCTTTAGATGCCCTGCTGGAGCGTATGCTGTGCTTGTAAACAATGAATTATAAGGGGCGATGGTGGTTATAGAAAGGAACCTCCTACCCCTGTACATGGTACTATACAGGATGGCTTATGAATATTTGAATATATAGGGAGTCTGGATTCTAGTTGGGTCTGCGGAATATATAGGGAGTCCGTGAATTCTAGTTGGGTCTGTGGATTCTAGTATAGGGGGTCTGCAGATTCTAGTTGGGTTTGCGGATTCTAGTATATGGGAGTCTGCGGATTCTAGTTGCTGTCTGTGGAATGTAGTATAGGGGGTCTGCAGATTCTTGTTGGGCCTGTGGCTTCTAGTTGGGTCTGCAGAATATAGTATAGGGGGTCTGCATATTCTAGTTGGGTGTGTGGATTCTAGTATAGGAGGTCTGCAGATTCTAGTTGGGCCTGTGTATTCTAGTATAGGGGGTCGGCAAATTCTAGTTGGGTTTGCTGATTCTAGTATAAAGGGTCTGCAGATTCTAGTATAGAGGGGTCTGCAGATTCTAGTTGGATCTGCGGATTCTAGTATAAGGGTTCTGCAAATTCTAATTGGGTCTGCGGATTCTAGTATAAGGGGTCTGCAGATTCTAGTTGGGTCTGTGTATTCTAGTATAGGGGGTCTGCAAATTCTAGTTGGGTTTGCGGATTCTAGTATAAGGGGTCTGCAGATTCTAGTTGGGTCTGTGGATTCTAGTATAGGGAGTCTGCGGATTCTAATTGGGTCTGTGGAATATAGTATAGGGGGTCTGCGGATTCTAGTTGGGTCTGCAGAATATAGTATAGGGCTCCTGCAGAATATAGTATAGGGGGTCTGCAGATTCTAATATAGGGGGTCTGCAGATTCTAGTTGGGTCTGCGGTTTTAGTATAAGAGGTTTGCAGATTCTATTTGGGTCTACAGATTCTAGTATAGGGGGTCTGCAGATTTTAGTTGGATCTGCAAATTGTAGTTGGGTTTGTGGATTCTAGTATAGGGGGTCTGCGGATTCTAGTTGGGTCTGCAGGATATAGTATAAGGGGTCTGCGGATTCTAGTTGGGATCTGCGATCTTCCGATAATACAGGTTTGCTATCTGTGATCTTCGAATTATACACAACCCTATCGTAGGCAAGTAAGGAACACCATGTTTCGGACTACCGAAAAGCTAATGAATAGTAGTCAAGCCAAGGATTATAATGACTAGTGAAATTTACTCACCTCAGTTTATAACCCTTGAGTGTCAGTTTGCTTTGTTTATAGCAACCGGTAAGTCGCCTTTTTAAAATTCTCTAATTTCTTGCAAATTGCAATATAATTCAGCCACCCACCCTCCAGTTTTCAAAACACTTAGCCTGCGTTTACAATGAGTCACAAGAATGCATATTTTCTTAGTATGTATGAGAGGAAAAGAAATACTTTTATAGCCCGTGTGGAAGGGGGGGGGGGGGAGGTGTTAACTTGCGTCATTATACACGACACCTGAAATTTTTTTATTCTAATGCCGCCAACTTCTTTTTGTCAAATGTGAACTCTACAAGAGTGATTATTTGATTATGAATGTCAGTGTCCACACGAAAGATATCTATGGTCTCCACGTTAAATTATGTCGTAGCAAAACCCTGTTCAGAACTGGGGATATCCATAAAAAGGTTACGAAACTCAGACATATTCAAATATGTCACTAGCATACGCCTCTCTCTGTCTCATATGCCCACAAAAATAAGATTTTTTGGAATAAAGGCTGTGGTTTATAATGATATTTTTGTCTGGTCGTTTCAGGTCAGGGTGCTCGATAGAGGTATTTAAAATTGAGTTAATACACCATGGTTGGGATACCATCCCTGTTGAGGTTAGTACCCTGTTATATTAACGCTTGCAATGGACACCGATGATTTATCAAGGGTGTACGAGTAATAGGACATGTTACCTTTGATAAAATAGTTATTACAGATATTATGTTAAGTCATTTCCTGAAGAGCCTACTGTCTAATCTTCTATTAGTGATTTTTTGCTTATTTGTAGGGAACTAAACATTAGATTCTGATTCTGTGAAGATGTACGGATAGTTTTGAAAAAGCTCCAATTTCAGTAGGGACGCAAGCTGAATTAGGTCAGCTATTGTCTAAAGATCGCATAGCGTGAAATTGTTTTTAAGGTGTTGTTTTGATCTTTCTAAACTTGAATTATATAACATACCGTTTAAATTAAATGAATAATACGAGTAAAAGAAATTCACCATTTGTTTTTTCAGGGTTCCAAGTATATTAGCTCGTCTGCAGCTACGGACAACAACGTCAGATATGGTGTGCAACCTAGGGTTTTGGAGGTAGTTCACAAGGAGCAAAATTTGGGTGGGGGGTGGTTTGCGCGTGGATTAGTTGCGACAGCCGGTGGGCTACCTTGTTAGGGCCCCCTAGGTTGCACTGGCTAAGCTGCCATATCATGTCCACCCCACCTCTCTTGGAACAAATGGAGGTAAGTCATTATTGATTTTTATTGGCAATAGTTAGAAACTTGTTGACTTCAACCTGATTTATAAAAGGTGCACTAGTTTTCTTCATATCGAACCCGTGATTCAATGGGCTTATATTCATATCATTTAGATAGGTGTCCGTCAATTATCTACTAAGTTAAACAGCAATTGTTTTAAAAGGGTTGATTAAAATCGTGTACCAAGTGTATAGATTGCAGCTTAATCTAAATTTTGGTGTAGTTTTTAAACGCAAAGGGACATTCTGCTTTTTTTTGTACATTTTTTTTTTGCTAAAATTTGTGAAACCTATACAACAAATCAAAATACATCTTCAAACCTACGAAAAAATTATAATGCCTTTAAAAATGGTTTTAGTTGGAAAATTTTCTTAAATGTGGAAAATCCCCAAATTTTCTGCTTTTCTTCTGTCTCAAGTACTGGGTTAAAGTCAACAAGTTTCAGACTAATAGTTAAGAAGCCAAGATCCTATTGGGGAATTGATAATAATTCTGTTTTGAGTTTTTGCTTCAATAAGTTGAAAAGAAAGAAAATTACATCTCACTATTCTTCATTATGATTTACTTCATTATTTCTTGATTTAACAACATTTATAAAAAGAGTTTGTTCACTGTTTCAACAAAAGTTGCTTTTCGGAGGAAAACTTTATGTATATTATTATGATTTTAGGTGTAAACAGATCGAGCTTCATTATAGAAGAATAAAGTGCTTATGGTGTGGCATGGAAGCTCATCACGTAAGTTTCAAATTAATTATATTATATCCATCCAGTTTTGGCCATTTTCTGCATAATCTTGACCTTTGTTCAAATATGATGGTGACTCAGTGTGCAACAGATTTTGCAAGTTAAAGATCCTCTGACAGTTGAAAACCGAACATGTAGGCTAGTACCACTTTCTATGAAAAATTACCTTCATTGCACACTGCCCGCCCTCATTAGCTCAAACAGTTGCAGAAAAGAAGAATTCTTTCTGTTAACGTCTTAGAATACTTTAAACTCGTACTCATAAATCAACTGCCAATTGCCTTCCTCATTTTCTACTCTACAACTGGCTTTAACAACACGGCAACCTTTTCGAAGAGTCTATTTCTGTAGCGAGCCTTATTGAAGACTGTGTGGTATCCCATTTTCAAAAATATTTCTTAAACCGAAAATTGTAAAATCAACTTATAAACATGAAATATTACAAAAATATGTGGTTAACTATGTGTTGACAAACCCAGTTGCGGAGTGACATCAAGGTGTCATTACTATTAGTTTGGAATAGAATATGCAATTGCATCAAAATGCATATTAAAGAGCATATTCTTGTAACCTCTGTCTATCCACCAATTCTAACTTATAGTTTTGTTAATGTTACTGTTTCAACGGTTACCGATTTTTTTTCTTTGTACGGTTACGGAATTTAGGATTTTAAAACAGTTACTGATTTTTTTTTTATATTTAACAGTTACTGTTTTAGTGCTCAAACAGTTACTGATGATTTTTCTTTAAACGGTTACTGATTTTATAATATTAAAACAGTTACTGATATTTTGATATTGAAACTATGGAATACCAAAATGAAAAAATTCAACATAAAAAAAGAATCACATAGGGCCTACCACGAAGTTGAAATTTTATACCAAGATACTTATATTATATACCAAAATCTTTAATCATATACCAAGAAATTCATATCAAGTACCAAGAATTATATACGAAAATCAATATATTACATACCAAGACTAAAAGCGCAATAAGCAATTAGACCTATGTTTATTGATTATACGGGATAGGCAACGGTCTACAATTGTGGGTCAGAGTTTCTGACACAGCCGTTCATAGATCTGCGTTTCCCGAGTGTGTTTCCTATCCCGCAGCCTATACCCATTATAGACCTCCTATAAAAATATCTAGTGTTAAAGGGGTAAACTTATTCGATAAAAAGAAAATAGGTGTAAGACATTAGGTCTATCCTATGTCTATATGACTGGCCTTACATCGCCTATATGAGTGAAGAAGGAAAGCACAATGTCTTTCACTAGCCGTGCCAAATAAATCTAATCTACATTATTTTTTTTATGCCCTCTATAATATTAAAATATTTGGCCCTATATAAACAGTGAAAGGTGTCCCCGAACCGACAGTAAAACATAATGTTTCTTGGTATAAAATTTTAACTTCTTGGTATGTGATTTTTTTTATGTTGGATTTTTTCTGTTTTGGCATTCCGTATTAAACAGATGCTGATTTTCTTGTGTTCAAACTGAGACTGATTTTTTTAAAAGATTTTTTTGGTTCTCAAACAATTACTGATGTCAACGGTTACTTAATTTTTGATTTTAAACAGTTACTGATAGTTCAAACAGATACTGATTGTCTTGAGCTCAAACAGCGACTCATTTTTTATACGACCACAAATAGTTTGGGCGTATATTGTAATCACTCCGTCGGTTCGTCCGTTCAAATTTGGCTTATGCTCACTCTACGGGATAAAATTCTTTTGATTTTTATTTTGTGGGTCCATGTCATTTTAAAGATGATTCCTATCGATTTTTGTGTTGATCTGAATTTTTCACCGAAATATTGTGTCCTATTATTTGCAATATAGTGCAACTTTTGGTAACACTTCAAGGAACAATTCTATATATATTATTTTGTTTTTTATATGCCCATACGTAGTATGGAAGTTAGTCCGTCCGTCTGCCTAACGATAAAAACCGGCCATGATGCGATACAATAAATGTTTTTTTTCACAATTCTCTATGGTCTAAACACGAACAAAATGTGAATGGGCAACAAACAATGAAATGCATTTGCAATAAAAACTGCTGGTAGGCTTTTATCACCTTGTAAATAGTCAACAGAAGTACTAGAAATGTACGAAAATCTCATGATTCTTTTAAAAATAATTCAAACCAGGAATTTTACTGAGCATTTCTGTATATGGCTTTTCTATATATCACAGAATATCTTAAATTGACGAGTCGTCAAATATTTAGTATGAGTTATTGCCCTTGTTCTTGAAAACGCTCTCAAAATTAGCTCTTAAACACTAAAAGGCATGATTCTTGATGGATTTTGACAAAACTTGGTTTTATTATTCAGCCCCGCGCTGAAGATTGAATATTTGCCTTCTAGAGTTTTCACGAGCTAAAAATTGAACACCTTTTTGAAGAACAAGGGCAATAACTCATACTGAATATTATTCAGTATCGCCCTAAAGAGTTCAAATGAAATGTATGACTGAAGGTTGACTATTTCATACTGGTGATTGTTAATGTACTGCTAAATATTTTTATTCAAATCAAAGCTGCCAGTGGGCATATATTATCTTGCCTTACCTATCTTATAATATCCAAACAATTACTGATTTTATAATGTTAAAATTGATATTTAAGCGACTACTGATTTTATAATGTTCAAACAGTTACTGATTTTATAATATTCAAACAGTTCCTGAATTTATAATATTCAAACAGTTACTGATTTTATAACATTCAAACAGTTACTGAATTTATAATACTCAAACAGTTACTGATTTTATAATACTCAAACCGTTACTGATTTTATAATATTCAAACCGTTACTGATTTTATAATATTCAAACAGTTACTGAATTTATAATATTCAAACAGTTACTGATTTTATAACATTCAAACAGTTACTGAATTTATAATATTCAAACAGTTATTGATTTTATAATATTCAAACCGTTACTGAATTTATAATATTCAAACAGTTACTGATTTTATAATATTCAAACAGTTATTGATTTTATAATATTCAAACAGTTACTGATTTTATAATATTCAAACAGTTACTGATTTTATAACATTCAAACAGTTACTGACTTTATAATATTCAAACAGTTACTGATTTTATAATATTCAAACGGTTACTGAATTTATAATATTCAAACAGTTATTGATTTTATAATATTCAAACAGTTACTGATTTTATAATATTCAAACAGTTACTGACTTTATAATATTCAAACAGTTACTGACTTTATAATATTCAAACAGTTACTGATTTTATAATATTCAAACAGTTACTGATTTTATAATATTCAAACAGTTACTGACTTTATAATATTCAAACAGTTACTGACTTTATAATATTCAAACAGTTACTGACTTTATAATATTCAAACAGTTACTGACTTTATAATACTCAAACAATTGCCGACTTTATAATATTCAAACAGTTATTGATTTCATAATATTCAAACAGTTACTGACTTTTAAATATTCAAACAGTTACTGACTTTATAATATTCAAACAGTTACTGACTTTATAATACTCAAACAATTGCCAACTTTATAATATTCAAACAGTTATTGATTTCATAATATTCAAACAGTTACTGACTTTATAATATTCAAACAGTTACTGACTTTATAATCCTCAAACAATTGCTAACTTTATAATATTCAAACAGTTATTGATTTCATAATATTCAAACAGTTACTGATTTTATAATATTCAAACAGTTACTAATTTTATAATATTCAAACAGTTATTGATTTCATAACATTCAAACAGTTTTTGATTTCAAAATATTAAAACAGTTACTGACTTTATAATATTCAAACAGTTACTGATTTTATAATATTCAAACAGTTACTGATTTTTTAATATTCAAACAGTTACTGGTTTTATAACATTCAAACAGTTATTGATTTTGTAATATTCAAACAGTTATTGATTTTGTAATATTCAAACAGTTATTGATTTTATAATATTCAAACAGTTATTGATTTTATAATATTCAAACAGTTACTGAATTTATAATATTCAAACTGTTACTGACTTCATGATATTCAAACAGTTATTGATTTTATAATATTCAAACAGTTACTGAATTTATAATATTCAAACAGTTATTGATTTTATAATATTCAAATAGTTACTGATTTTATAATATTCAAACAATTACTGACTTTATGATATTCAAACAGTTACTGATTTTATAATATTCAAACAGTTATTGATTTTATAATATTCAAACAGTTACTGACTTTATGATATTCAAACGGTTACTGAATTTATAATATTCAAACAGTTACTGACTTTATAATATTCAAACAGTTACTGACTTTATGATATTCAAACAGTTACTGAATTTATAATATTCAAACAGTTATTGATTTTATAATATTCAAACCGTTACTGAATTTATAATATTCAAACAGTTACTGATTTTATAATATTCAAACAGTTACTGACTTTTTAATATTCACACAGTTGCTGAATTTATAATATTCAAACAGTTGCTGATTTGCTAATATTCAAACAGTTACTGATTTTATAATATTCAAACAGTTACTGATTTTATAATATTCAAACAATTACTGACTTTATAATATTCAAACAGTTACTGAATTTATAATATTCAAACAGTTATTGATTTTATAATATTCAAACAGTTACTGACTTTTTAATATTCACACAGTTGCTGAATTTATAATATTCAAACAGTTGCTGATTTGCTAATATTCAAACAGTTACTGATTTTATAATATTCAAACAGTTACTGATTTTATAATATTCAAACAATTACTGACTTTATAATATTCAAACAGTTACTGAATTTATAATATTCAAACAGTTATTGATTTTATAATATTCAAACAGTTACTGATTTTATAATATTCAAACAATTACTGACTTTATGATATTCAAACAGTTACTGACTTTATAATATTCAAACAGTTACTGACTTTATGATATTCAAACAGTTACTGACTTTATAATATTCAAACAGTTACTGATTTTATAATATTCAAACAGTTACTGACTTTATGATATTCAAACAGTTATTGATTTTATAATATTCAAACAGTTACTGACTTTTTAATATTCACACAGTTGCTGAATTTATAATATTCAAACAGTTGCTGATTTGCTAATATTCAAACAGTTACTGATTTTATAATATTCAAACAGTTATTGATTTTTTTAGTGCTCAATTACTGATGTTTTGTCTTAAAACGTTACTGATTTTTTTATTTTAAACAGTGCTCAAACTGCTACTAATTTTTAGATTTTAAAAGTGATGTTTTAAGTGTTCAAACAATTACTGATGTTTTGTCTTTTAACGATTACTAACTTTACAATATTCAATTATTCTTATTATTGAGATCTTAGACAAGTTTGAATTTGACGATTTTTCGATGAACAGCATTTGAATTGGCTTAGGAAAAGCGTGTCAAAATTTGTTTTAGAACACGCTAGAGACTACAGTTTTTCCTGATTTTAATTAAATTTGGCTTGTTTATGAATGAGATCTTGGTCAAGTTCGAATTTTTACTATTTTTGATGAACAGTTTTTGAGTAATTGCCGTTGTCTTAGGCAAACGCATTGGAATTTGTTCATGAGCACACGTACAGTTTTCGTCTGATTTAAATGAAATTTTGTTTGATCATTAATATTGACGAATGAAATGAAATAAATACAGTTTTACATCCTACTTATTTATATTTTGACGATTTTTTCAGATCAACAATTTATGAATTATTGTCCATGACTTTGAAATATCTTGAAATTTGAAAAAAAGAGAGCTGTGTGATTTAATAATTTGATGTGTGTTATTGCTATTGATTTAAAAAAAATATCGTGGAAAAACTGAGCATAAATGACTGACATGTTATATCTAATGATCAATAAATTCAAACTACAAAGGCCGTGTCATGATTTCTGACAAGTGCCAGTGTGTGTATGTTACCTTGTCTGGCAAGCTATCTTTTTAAGTATTCAAACGATTACTGATTTTTATACGCCCACATGACATTGCCGTCACGCATGTCCGTCCGTCGGTCCGTCCACAATTGCTCGTAAACACTTTACAAGACACAATTCTTGACGGATTTTGACAAAACTTGGTATGAGTGTTCGTAATCTGAAAATCAGAAGAATCGAAAAAAAATTAGTATGAGTTATTGCCCTTGTTCTTGAAAACGCGTTAAGTATTTAGCTCGTAAACACTCTAGAAGGTACAATTCTTGACGGGTTTTGACGAAACTTGGTGTGAGTGTTTGTAATCACCCAAGGATGAACACTATTGAAAATCAGAAGAATAAAAAACTATTAAGTATGAGTTATTGCCCCTGTTCTTGAAAACGCGTTCAATTTTTAGCTTGTAAACACTCTAGAAGGGTCAATTCTTGACGGATTTTGATGAAACTTGGCATGAGTATTTGTTATCACCCAAGGATAAACCCTATTGAAAATCCGAAAAATCGAAAAATATTTAGTATGAGTTATTGCCCTTGCTTTTGAAAACGCGTTCAATTTTTAGCCCGTAATCACTCTAGAAGGCACAATTCTTGACGGATTTGGTGAAACTTGGTGTGAATGTTCGTAATCACCCAAGGATGAACCCTATTGAAAATCAGAAGAATTGAAAAATATTTAGTATGAGTTATTGCCCTTGTTCTTGAAAACGCTTTCAAATTTAGCTCTTAAACACTAAAAGGCATGCTTCTTGCTGGACTTTGACAAAACTTGGTTTTAATATTCAGTCCCGCGCTGAAGATTGAATATTTGCCTTGTAGAGTTTTCACGAGCTAAAAACTGAACATGTTTTCAAGAACAAGGGCAATAACTCATACACACTATTATTCAGTGTTGCGCTAAAATGTTGAAAAGAAGTGTATGACTGAAGGTTGAATATTTCATACTGGTGATTGTTACCGTACTGCTAAATATTTTTATTCAAAATCAAAGCTGCCAGTTGTCGTATATTACCTTGCCTGGCAAGCAATCTTTTATGAAACTTGGTATGAGATCTGATTAAAGCTTGAAATTAGTAACAATCGGACTTTATCATTTCTGACGGCTGGTAGTGGGCTTGCCAGGCAAGCTATCTTTATCCAAGCAATTACTGAATTTTAGTTCCTGATGACCATTTTAGTGGTCAAACGGTTTCAAAGTTATTGCCCTTGACTTAGTGAAAACAAACAAATTTAGTTTGTAGGAACGCCAGAGACTACATTTTTTATCCGATACTGATGAAACTTGGAATGCTAAAGCTCTATTGAGTTCGAAATTGGTAAAAATCGCATGAATAGTTATTACCTTTGACTTAGTAAAAACGATTCAAATTTGGTTTTTGTGTACGATAGAGGCCACAGTTTTTATCCGATATTGATGGAACTTGAAATGATTGTATATAATGATGAGATCTCTGTCGAAATTTGTAAAAATCGCATGAACTGTCTCAGATTTATTGCTCTTTACTTAGTAGAAATTCGTCAAATTTGGAATGTATGCACGATAGAGACTAGGACATATATAGGATGTCTTAGATTCTGATCTTCTAGCATTGATCCTAGCGCTAAGATTGTTTGGAGAATACTTGCTCATGTTATTATTTGATTTGGTGAAACTTTGTATGCATGTATATATTGATGAGATCTCATTTAGAAATTGGTAACAATCGAATTAAAGGTTTCAGGGTTTGAAAATGCGTCAAATTTGGCTGGTAGGCACGATGTAGACTACAGTGTAATTCCAATATTGATCAAACTTGGTATACATTCAAATAATAGGTAATAATCGAGTAGACCTTGTTCATGTTTGAATAAGATGATAATTTGATGAACTGTTTTGAGGCTTTGCCTTGATCTAAAAATATCTCAAAGACAATTTGAAAATTCATTATTAAGCTACTAAAGATTTTGTTATCACTTCTGACAGCTGTTAGTGGTCTAGCTTTCTAATCAGTTCTGATATCTGAAAAAGACAGTATAGACTACAGTTTTATAAGGTTTTGTTGAAACTTGACTGCTGGTGTAATTTGCTTCTGTATGGCCAATACTGTTTGATTGTTGGTTTTGGTAACAGTAATCAATGTTGAATTTTTCCATTTTCAGGTTAGAAATGGTAAATCGTCTGGTAATTTACCTACCCGCAATAGCACTGCCACACTAGGGGTGATCTGAGGTCATAGCCTGTATGATTCTACAGATCCTCCTATGTACAGAAGAAGCAGGCGCGCCTACAGAAGAAGAACAGATGAAGATTACAGATGAAGATAACAGATGAAGAGGAAAATCAACGATGCCTCCATCCATTTAATAGTAAGTTGATCTTGAGTTCAAAATTCTAAGGATAGTTTGTAACTTAGACACCATTGGCTCAAACAAATTATGATCATGGGTTCAAATTTGGCACCATTAAGATGTCATTAAAGGCTGGAGTATATTTTATTCGTAATTTAATCTGTGTAAACGAAGTGCATCTGAATGGGTTTATAAAGAAAGACAACGACATTATGCGGGACAATTTGCATGGCCAATGGCATCAGCCAACACTTTTCTATTTCCAACTGTTGAAGAATCTTCAATGTGCACCCCTGTAGTACACGTGGCCTCATTTTGCTCCCTTGCAAACTAGACAGCGTTGTCCATGTCAGTGGGAAACTAGACATTGGAAAATCCCAACGTACAGTAAGTTTCGATAATTTTGCACTTTTGATCGCTTTTTCGTTCGAGGAATTAATGATGAAAATTAGCCATCTGTAAAATTCAAATTCCAAGTTTTTATTGTTCGGAATTTTCCTCATTTCAAGGACAATCATAGACTCAGAAGTAATTTGGATTCAAGATTTTAAATCATATAAAAGGATGGCAAAACATGTGTCTGAAAACTTAGTGTTTGTACAGTAAGAATTTCAATGCTATTTTCAAATTGATTTTTCGAATTGACATAATTTAGAAACTACCAGTAAGTCAGTTGTGATGTGGAATCTCTGAAAGGGAATGATTATAAAAATTACGTATACCTTGTCTGACTAGCTACACATGCCACAATAATCATTACAATAGAGCTCTGAAAACATAAAATTGTGGGGTTTTGACACTAAACCCTAAAACTTTTTTTTTTTAAACAATATTTATTACTGCATGGAATTATATCAAATATTATACATTTACATGTAAACACGTTTCCATATAACACGGGTACAAATATTCTTTAAGATCAAATTAAAAAGTAACAAATAAAATCCACATACTTGACACATAATTGTATAATATACAATTTAGTAAAATCTCTTATGTTGGAGAAAGAGTATGTTTAAGAATGCATATTGCCATCATAAGCTCAGTTTGAAAGGTTTACAAATTTGGGCAATCTTGTCCATATACAATAGCACAGGGGGTCTGGATTTAAATTATACCAATTTATGTTTTGTTTCAAGAAATAAATGAGCTTCTAAATAAAACATTTTAAAGTGTAACGCCTGTAGCGTCAAAGGTCAATGCAGTGTGCGACATGCAGGTCGGAAACGCTAACACGTAAAAAGCGCCAGTTCGTTTTTAAGCCGATGCCGCGTGTATTAGACTTTTTGTACATTCAATATCCACTGACACCATAACTGCCCGTCAAGCTAACGACGCTATCTTGGCAAAATTTCCCTTCTAGCACATTGCATGTTGGTCTCGCCTTCATTAGCCCCATTAGGACTCGATTTATTTCATTTCATTGACATGTATTTTGCTTTTGGTTGTTTTTAGCCGTCAGCGGGAACCCGATAGCTGTCTTTACTATTGAGTTTGACATACACCACATACAGATAGATGACCAACAAAGCACGGTCTGTTTATATTTTTAATTAAATTCCCAGTTCATTTAGTTTTGATAAATTGAAAAATTACTATTATGAAAAAAACTTAGATATTATCAGCAGTTTTAGTAACATTATAAAATGAATGTTTAGAATCACAGAAAATCTAATTTGCTTATGAATTTGGCCAAAATATTTGAACCACTGGCCATTGTTGTCAATTGCCATGGCTTTAACAATCGGTTCATTAGATCCCTTTAAATACCATAATTTACTTTTTCTGTTTCTTGCAGGGTTCCAAGAATCAAAATAGCTAGTATTTAGTTGTACAATAAAAGGACATTCGACTGGGAGGTCAATCATTACGTAGGTTATGGTGGAGCACAAATGTCCTAAAAGCTAATCTTGGAACAAAGCTAGGTACTGATAATTGAATTGATTTTATCCTAGCAAACATTGGCTTTCGAATTGACAGAACATAGAAAGCCTTCGTTTATTTAATGTGATTTTTTTATTAACAGTTTATGATAAGGCTTAATACATAACCACTTTGTCAAACGTTATGCTTACGTTTGCAGTATTTTCAGATTTGTGCATAATGTTAAGTTATTTATAATTTCAGGTGTATACAAATAGAGCTTCATCATATAGAAATAAAGTGCTTATGGTGTGGCGCAGAAGCTCACAAGGCAAGTAGACTTTGTAACATAAAGCTATTCTTATATCTCCACATTTTGAATCCTTGTTTTTGAAAATCATGATGTGTCACCTGGTATCCTTGGTCTTACAGTGGATAAGGTTTTCAGAACTTAACATAACTCAGTAAAATGTTTGAATGGTTGAAAAAATTGTATATATATATCTCTCCATTCAAGTAAAAATGAAAAGTTAAGTAATTCGATAGTGTTTTATTTCTGTTTTGTTACAATGACAAGTGAAATGAATTTGATTTCTATTTCTATTTTCAGGTTAGAAAAGGTAAATCGTCTGGTAATTTACCACTCCGCAATAGCACTGCCACAATAGGAGTGTTCTGAGGTCATGGCCTGTATGACTCTACAGAAATCCTATTCACAGACGAAGAGTAACAGATGAAGAGGAACAGATGAAGGACAGATGAAGAGGAACAGATGAAGTAGCTGCGGCGATTCCTCCACCCATTTTTTGTAAGCTTACTTCTGACTTTTTTTCAAAAGGATAGTACCGTAAATATTAGACTTTTAGGTATGTGGATTCTCTGAAAGAAACGTCGAGTTTACTAAAAGGGGAATGTGATGCCAAAAAGTCCATAATCCATAGAACGTTTCCAAAGATATATAGATAAAATGATATTTTGACTAAGTGCATTTCTTAGTCATGTCCCTGCTTAATAGCGCTTTTTTACAACAGAGGCAAAATTAGTCTCCCATTCTTTACCATAAAAAACTGTTTAGAAATGCACATGTACAACAAGTAGCCTTAAGAGACTTGATTATTTCACTCATTCAATGTTATGTTTCAAGAAGTATATTAGCAAATATTCAGACAGTGAAAAGAGTAAAATACTGTGGTATCAAACGAATAAGGTTGCCTGACTCCTAGAAATTTCATAAAATACAAAAAATTGCTGCTGGCTTTAATTGAAATAATCATGTTTTTTGCCTTTTGTTTTATTTTTAAGCCGTCAGCGGGAACTCGATAGGTGTCTTTGCTATTGGGTTTGACATACACCACTCACAAATAGATGACCAACAAAGCACGGTCAGTTTATATCTTTAATCAAATTCCCTGTTCATTGGGTTTTCTTTCCTTGTAAAAAATAAACCTTCAAAAAGTTCAAAATATTTTGTTCGGATGATTAAAAAGGAAAGAGGATTTATAATCTTTTCTCAAAAATCCTAAGATAATATCAGCAGCTTTTGCAATAGTGACATCATAAAATCCCTCGTCGTAGTGAATCGCAGATGTGTCTGAACATTGCCATTTACTCTGATTTATATAATATAAATCAAATATAATTTGCTTATAAATTTGTCCAAAATATTTGGATTTCAAAATTTTTTACACAAAAACCGTTGTGATCAATTGCCATGGCTTTGACTATCAGATAATTAGATCCATAATTTACTTTACCACCAATTTTTTTTGCAGGGTTCCAAGAACCAAAATAGCTATACTTTAGCTTTACAAATTCAGTACAGAAGGGCATTCGAATAGGGGTCAATCATTACATAGGTTATGGTGGAACACAAATGTCCTAAAAGTAAATCTTGGAACAAAGCTAGGTATTGATAACTGAATTATTTCTATGAAATTTGAGATATTGATCTTGTCCTACCAAATATTGCCTTTTGAACTGGACAGAAGGGAGTCGTGGTGGCTCAGTGAGTTAGACGCTTGATCACTAACCTGAAGGTCCAGGGTTCAATCCCGGCATAGGTCGAGATAATACCTTCAGATTTTTCAGTTCGATTTCGACCTGTCATTGATGCGGGTAAGAGGGGCTGACATGGAAAAAGCGTCTTGTCTTTTGGATGGGACAATAAACTAAGTGCACGTGTGCTACAAGACGTTGTACGTTAAACATCCCTCGACAGTTGGAAAATAAAAAAAAGCAGGTTAATGCCACTGTCCTGGCAAAATTCCTCTCATTCCACCCTGCATGGCGTTGCCCGTCTTCATTAGCCGACATGGTGAAGAAAAGTAGGACGTAAACTCCATTCATTTCATTTCATTTTCGAACTGGACAGAGCATGGTATGCCTTAGTTTATTAGTTTTTTGATGAACAGTTTTTTTACCAGGCCTTATACATTTTGTCAAACTTTATGCCCACGTTTGCAATATTTTCAGATTTGTTTATAATGTTAAGTTATTTATAATTTCAGGTGTATACAGATAGAGCTTCAATTAGAAATAAAGTGCTTACGGTGTGGCACAGAAGCTCACAAAGCAAGTTGATTTTATTGCATAAAGCTTTTCTCATATCTCACAATTTAGAATCCTTATTTCTAAAAGTCATGATGTCACCTGGTTTCCTTGGTCTTGTAGCGGATAAGGTTTTCAGAACTTAACGTTACTCAGTAAAATGTTTGAACAGTTGAAAAAAAATTGTAGGAATATCTCTTCATCCAAGTAAAAATGAAAAGTTAAGTAATGTGATAGTATTTTATTTCTGTTTTGTTACAATGACAAGTAAAATGAATTTGATTTTGGGTCTATTTTCAGGTTAGAAAGGGTAAATCGTTTGGTAATTTACCTTCCCATCATAGCACTGCCACAATAGGAGTGTTCTGAGGTCATGGCCTGTATGAATCTACAGAACTCCTATTGACAGATGAAGAGGGACAGATGAAGGACAGATGAAGAGGGACAGATGAAGGACAGATGAAGAGGAACAGATGAAGAAACTGCGGTGATTCCTTCACCCATTTTTTGTAAGCTTACTTCTGACTTTTTATGCGCCCACATGAAAATGTGGACGTATATTGCTGTCGGTCCGTTGGTCCGTCAACATTTCTTGTGAACACAATAGAGGCTAGCTTTTTCAAATGATTTTAATGAAATTTGGTGTGATCATTTCTAGTGATGAGATCTTGGACAAGTTCGAATTGAATATTTCGATGAACGGTCTATGAGTTATTGCCATTGACTTAGGAAAGCAAGTCAAAATATGGCATCGAGCACAACAGAGACTTGTGTTCATCTGATTTAAATGTAATATGGAATGATCATTTATATTGATAATATCTTGTTCAAATTTAACGATTTTTCTATGAGAAGTTTTTGAGTTATAGCCTTTGACTTAGATAAAAATTCGTCAAAATTTGTTCATGAGCACAATAGGAATACCGATTTCATGTGGTACTTATGAAATGTGTTGTGATGATTTATATTGATCAGTAAAATGGAATGAATGGAGTGTTATGTCTTTTTATTTATATCGATGAGATCTTAGCCCAGTTTGAATTTTCAATGATTTCACAAAACAATTTTTTGCCCTTGATATTAGAGCTGTGTGATTTAATAATTTGATCTATTTGGGATATTGATATTGAGGAATTACTCAGCATAAATAACTGGCAGTAGATATAGATATCATTGAATTCAAACTGATAAAATTTCTTTAATATGAGAAAATCCGTACTTTAGTCACTAAAGACTATTCATTTCTGCCAGCTGCCAGTGGGCGTATGTTACCTTACCTGGCAAGCTATCTTTTCAAAAGGATAGTACCATAAATATTAGACTTTTAGGTATGTGGATTCTCTGAAAGAAACGTCGAATTTACAAATTCAGTGGCATTCCGTATTCCGCAAGGGGATGCGATGCCAAAAAGTCCATAATCTATAAAACATTTCCAAATATGGATAGATAAAATGATACTTTGACCAAGAGCAATTCTTAACCATGTCCCTCCTCAATAGCGATTTTTATAACAGTGGCAAAATTAGTCTCCTATTCTTTACAATAAAAAACTTTTAAGGAATGCACATGTACAACAGGTAGCCCTAAGAGACTTGATTATTTCACTCCTTCAATGTTTTGTTTCAGGAAGTATATTAGCAAACAATCAGAGTAAAATACTGTGGATCAAGGTTGTCCGACTACTAGAAAATTGATAAAACACAAAAAATTGCTGGCTTTAATTGAAATAAACATGTTTATTGCCTTTCGTTTTCCTTTTAAGCCGTCAGCGGGAACTCGATAGCTGTCTTTACTATTGGGTTTGACATACACCACTCACAGATAGATGACCAACAAAGCACGGTCAGTTTGTTTTTAATCAAATTCCCTGTTCATTTGGTTTTCTTTCCTTGTAAAAAATAAGTCTTCAAAAAGTTCAAAATATTTTGTTCGGATGATCAAAAAGTAAAGAGGATTTATAATCTTTTCTCAAAGACCCTCAAATATTATCAGCAGCTTTTGCAATAGTGACCCCATAAAATCCTTCGTCGTAGTGAACTACAGATGTGTCTGAACATTGCCATGTTGTCTGATAGTACAAATAACTTATAAGATTGTAATTACAGAAAATCTAATTTGCTTATAAATTTGTCCAAAATATTTGGATTTCAACAATTTTTGCACAAAAGACCGTTGTGATCAATTTCCATGGATTTGACAATGAGATAATTAGATCCCTTTAAATACCATAATTTACTTTACTACCGTTTTTCGTGCAGGGTTCCAAGAACCAAAATAGCTGGTCTTTAGCTGTACAGTAGAAGGGCATTCGACTGGGAGGTCAATCATTACATATGTTATGGTGGAGCAAAAATGCCCTAAAAGCGAATCTTGGAACAAAGCTAGGTATTGATAACTGAATTATTTATAAGAAATTTGAGATATTCATTTTGTCCTACCAAATATTGGCTTTCGAACTGGACAGAACATGGTATGACTTAGTTTATTGGTGATATTTTGATGTAATTTTTGATGAACAGTTTTTGACCAGGCTTAATACATAACCACTTTGTCAAACTTTATGTCTACGTTTGCAGTATTTTAAGATTTGTGCATAATGTTAAATTGTTTATAATTTAAGGTGTATATACAGATAGAGCTTCACCGTATGGAAATAAAGTGCTTATGGTGTGGCGCAGAAGCTCATCAGGCAAGTTGACTTTATTACATAAAGCTATTCTTATATCTCACCATTTAGAATCCTTGTTTTTGAAAGTCATGATGTGTCACCTGGTATCCTTTGTCTTGGATAAAGTTTTCAGAACTTGACGTAATTCAGTAAACTGTTTAAACAGTTCAAAAAATTGTATGAATATCTCTCAATTCAAGTAAAAATGAAAAGTTGATTAATTTGATAGCATTTTATTTCTTCATTGACAAGTGAAATGAATTTGATTTTGGGTGTATTTTCAGGTTAGAAAGGGTAAATCGTCTGGTAATTTACCTCCCCGTCATAGCACTGCCACAATAGGAGTGTTCTGGGGTCATGAACTGAATGACACTACAGAACTCCTATTCACAGATGAAGAGGACAGATGAAGGGGAACAGATGAAGCAGCTGCGGCGAATCCTCCACCCATTTTCTGTAAGCTGACTTCTGTCTTTTTTCAAATAATAGTATTATAAAAATTACACTATGAGGTATGTGGATTCTCTGAAATGGACGTCAAGTTGACAGATTCAGTATCATTCTTTATTCCAGAAGGTGCATGCGATAGATCAGTAGCGATGCTAGAAAGAACATTATCCATAAAACGTTTCCAAAGATGAATAGATAGATGTTTTGAAAAAGTGTAATTCTTAACTTAGGGATGTTTACAGCAGTGCCAAAATTAGCCTCATATTATTTAGATTTCATTCTGTTGAGGAATGCACAACAGTAGCAATTTTTATACGCCCACATGAATATGTGGTCGTATATTGTCGTCGCGTCGGTCCGTCCGTCAACATTTCTTGTGAGCACTATAGAGACTACAGTTTTTATCTGATTTTGATGAAACTTGGTGTGATGCTTTAGATTGATAAGATTTCGGTGAAATTCGAATTTGACATATTTTCGATGAACGGTTTTTGAGATATGGTCCTTGACTTTGAACGCCTTGAAATTTGTTAAAAATTGTTCGTGAGCAGGATTGAAGCTAGTTTTCATCTGATTCTGATGAAACTTGGTATGATCATTGGAATTCATAAGATCTCGGACAAGTTCTAACTTGACGCATTTTCGATGAACGGTTTTTGAGTTATTGCCCTTGACTTTGTTAAAACGCGTTGAAATTTGTTAAAAATAGTTCGTGAGCAGGATTGAAGCTAAAGTTTTCAACCGATTCTGATGAAACTTGGTGTGATCATTGGAATTGATAAGATCTCGGACAAGTTGCAACATGACGCATTTTCGATGAACGGTTTTTGAGTTATTGCCCTTGACTTTGTTAAAACGCGTCAAAATTTGTTAAAAATAGTTCGTGAGCAGGATTGAAGCTACAGTTTTCAACCGATTCTGATGAAACTTGGTGTGATCATTGGAATTGATAAGATCTCGGACAAGTTCTAACTTGACACATTTTCGATGAACGGTTTTTGAGTTATTGCCCTTGACTTTGTAAAAACACGTCAATATTTGTTAAAAATAGTTTGTGAGCAGGATTGACGCTACAGTTTTCAACCGATTCTGATGAAACTTGTTGTGATCATTGGAATTGATGCCCTTAACTTACGAAAAACGCGTTAAAATTTGTTTGTGAGCACAATAGAAGCTACAGTTTTCAACCGATCTTGTTGAAACTTTGTGTGATCAATGGAATTGATAAGATCTCGGACAAGTTCTAACAAGAGATATTTTTGACAAACATTTTTTGAGTTATTGCCCTTGACTTTGTAAACACGTGTCAAAAGTTGTTTTTTGCCCTTGATTAGAGCTGTGTGATTTAATTGTTTGTTGTATTTGGGTTATTGATATTGATTTTAAAAAATTTTGTGGAATTATTCAGCATGAATAATTTCTTCAATATGAGAAAATTCGTACTTTAGTCACTAAAGACGGTTTTATTTTTTCTTACAGCTGCCAGTGGGCGTATGTTACCTTGCAACGCAAGCTATCTTTAAATTATTTCACTTCAATGTTTTTTTTTTCAGAGAGTATATTAGGAAACAATCAGACATAGTGACAAGAGTAAAATGCTGTAGTATCAAAGGATTAATGTTGTCTGACTCATAGACAATTGATAAATCTATTGGCTGTAATTGAAATAAAAATGTTTATTGCTTTTGGTTTCTTTTTTAGCCATCGGTGGGAACTCGATAGCTGTCTTTACTATTGGGTTTGACATACACCTCACAGTTAGATGACCAACAAAGCACGGTCAGTTTATATTTTTAATCAAATTCCCTGTTCGTTGAGTTTTCTTTCCTTGTAAAAATTAACCTTCATACATTTCAAAATATTTTTTCCGATGAGAAAAAAGAAAAGACGTTTTCTGAACTTTTCTGAAAGACCCTTAGATATTATCAGCAGCTTTTGCGATAGCAACATTATAAAATACTTAGTCGTAGTGGATTTTATGAACCACAGATGTGTGAAGATTGCCATGTTGTCTAATAATACAAATAACTTTTAATATAAATTTGCAATTACAGAAAATCTGCTTTGCTTATAAATTTGCCCAAACTATTTGGATTTCAAAATGTTTGCACCAATGACCGTTGTGATCACTTGCTATGGCTTTAACAATCAGATAATTAGATCGCTTTAAATACCATAATTTACTTTACTACTGTTGATCTTGCAGGGGTCCAAGAACCAAAATAGCTGGTCTTTGGCTATACATTCGACATTAGGACATTCGACTGGGAGGTCAATCATTATATAGGTTATGGTGGAGCACAGATGTCCTAAAAGCGAATCTTGGAACAAAGTTAGGTAATGATATGAGTTATTGATATTGTCCTACCAAACTTTGGCTTTCAAAATGGACAGAACATGGTTTATTGATACTGAAATCTGACATGATTTTTGCTGAACAATTTTTGGCCAATCTAATAACCACTTTGTCAAACTTTATGCTTACGTTTGAAGTATTTTCAGATTTGTGCATAATGGTACGTTATTCATATTTTCAGGTGTATACAGATAGAGCTTCAACATATGGAAATAAAGTGCTTATGGTGTGGCACAGAAGCTCGCAAGGCAAGTTGACTGTATTGCATAAAGCTATTTTGATATCTAACCATTTTAGACGCCTTGCATTGAAACTCATATGTCATCTGGTATCCTTGGCATAGCAAACCTGGTAACCTTGGCTTTGCAAACTTAGCTTAGTAAACTGATTGAACAGTTAAAAACGTTATTTCCGTTTCTTACAATGACAAGTAAAATGAATTTTAGTTGGGTCTATTTACAGGTTAGAAAGGGTACATCGTCTGGTAATTTACCTACTCGCATTAGCACTGCCACAATAGGAGTGTTCTGAGGTCATGGCCTGTATGACTCTACAGATCTCCTATTCACAGATGAAGAACAGATGCAGTGGCGCCTACAGTACAGATGAAGACCACATGGTGAGGAACAGATGGAACGAAACCAATGAAGAGCCGCAGGTATGTTTGTAAGGAAACATAGTCATCTAAATATATTTTGTACAATTGGATTGAGCATTATTTTGACTATTCATGGCTTTTTTCCTAATGGTATCTAGCTCTTCTACCATTATTTAAAACGTATCGACGAAAGTGGCAAAAGTTTAACAAAAAAAATTCCATTCGCATATCAGCAATTACAGTATTATAGAAAGCTTTTGTGATGGGTAAAAGATTTGAGCTGCAGCTCATTTACATGGATTTTCTTTTCTAATTTCAGAAGAAGAGCACAGAAGAAGATGGATTTTCGGCGTTTCTGCATTGATTTCTTGTTTGGTGTTTCTGCATTGATTTTGTGTTTGATGTTTCTGCATTGATTTTGTGTTTGTTTCTGCACTGATTTTGTGCGTTTCTGCATTGATTTTGTGTCTGCATTGATTTTGTGTTTGTTTCTGCATTGATTTTGTGTTTGATGTTTCTGCATAGATTTTGTGTTTGTTCTGCATTGATTTTGTGCGTTTCTGCATTGATTTTGTGTTTGTTTCTGCATTGATTTTGTGTTTGTTTCTGCATTGATTTTGTGTTTGTTTCTGCATTGATTTTGTGTTTCTTTCTGCATTGATTTTGTGTTTGTTTCTGCATTGATTTTGTGTTTGTTTCTGCATTGATTTTGTATTTGTTTCTGCATTGATTTGTTGTTTGTTTCTGCATTGATTTGGTGTTTGTGGTTTCTGAATTGATTTGGTGTTTGTGGTTTCTGAATTGATTTGGTGTTTGTGGTTTCTGAATTGATTTGGTGTTTTTGCATTGATTTGGTGTTAGTTGTTTCTATATTGATTTTGTGTTTCTGTATTGATTTGGTTGTTTGAATTGCTGTTTTTTTTTTGTTCTTCAGTGATTTTCTGTAATATGGTTTGCTTTTTTTGGCTTGGATTTCCAATTTTTGTTTTTCTGGTTCAGTGTTGTGAGCAGTGAACACCTGTGGAAGTTGAGGTCAAAGTTATTGTATTGGGTCAAAGTTCAAGATGGTAGTTGAGGTCAAAGTTCAAGATGCTAGTTGGGGTCAAAGTTCAAGATGGTAGTTGAGGTCAAAGTTCAAGATGGTAGTTGAGGTCAAAGGTCATGTAAATTAAACATATAAGCTGGTTATACAAATGTACCGACTTCATTGTGCATATTTTTTTTCTTTTGCAGGTTATGATGGCAAGAGTAATGGTTTTTTGTTTTTATTTTTAGGATTTTTTTACCTTTAGGCTTTTTACCTTATGTTCAAATCTCATCATGATTGTCTGTTTGCATTTCGGTACGAGTCGATGATGTAATAATTTGCTTTTTATGTCAGATATTGGTAATTTTATTGCGATAAGTTTGAAGAATTTGGAAGACAGAAGATAATGTTGTATGTTTTCAGATATTGGTTTTTTATGGTCAGGAAGGACGAAGAAGATAAGTTTGAATCTTAAAATATCAGATAATTCCCACGAAATGTCTTAACATAAAATACTTGCCTAATTCTGATAGCATTGGTATGTATTAGCCTGTATTATTTTGGGGATAAAATTATAGTTTTGCCGTCAGGACGTCATTGGCCTAAAATTAAATTATGCTAAAAAGAAAAGAAAGAGACAACTTCAGTTTACAAGGCTAACATCTTAGGTCACAGTTGAGGATTCTTTCTACCAGCTGGTCCTTCTCTGAACCTCTTGACATTGATCTTTCCCCGCATTATCCGTACCCATTTATAGCTGGGTCGACTGGAATTGCAAATGGCGTCATGTAAAGAACCAACGCTCTGACCGACTGTGCTAGCACACGCTATTAAACAGTTACTTGGCGACGCGTGGTGAATTGACATGCAAAAATCGTTTGATCCTTTTGATGGGACTAAAACTGAGGCCTCATGTGTTACAAACTCACATGTTAAGGATGGGTACCCTTATTTTCATTTATGAAAATTAAAATGCTAA